GTACTTTGATAGCCAATCATCCTCATCCGAGTCCCCGGAGTCAGTGAAAGATGGGCGGCTCTCGCTGGCGCTACGTAGCACCGCAGGTGACGTAAACGGTTGAAGGTGTAGGCTGAGGAGGAGTCTCGTTGGCCATGGTAGTAATGGGGTCACGAAGCGGGGGGAGCTTCCGGGAATGAAGGTGCAGGTTGGTACAAGGAATCTTCGTACCTCCACCGAATGTGACGTAATGTATTTACGCTAGACGTCAGGGAAGCTCGACAACTGTTCACCATGAAGTGTCGAGGAGCAGTGGGCGCCAAGCAGCCAAAATGTGGGCAAGCGTGAACTCGGCTGTGGCGCTGTTAGTTACGCTGGTGCTTCTTTGCTCGTGTCTTTCGTCGTCGTCTGTCCATCACTACAAGACCAAGTTTTGTTTAGGATACACGTTCCAGCTAGTGTGGCTTCGAAATCATGGATATGAGGAAGCGAATACCGATCTGGGACAGTGTACCTGTTTTATGCACGATAGTTACCACAGGAATGCCAGTCACCGGGCTTACACTTTGATACCATATGCAGGGCTGATGACCAGCTGCTTGACGATGAGCGGACAATGCCCAGTTGCAGCACGTGCTCAAACTCCCTACGTGTCGTGTCAAGGTGGTAACCAGAAAGAAGGCGCGGCTTGCTTTGTATTGAAATTTCATTTCTGTCAATGTGGTGCGTGACCTTGTGTTGCACCAGTTGTTCCGAATAGTTCGGTTTTGTCAGGTCTGGGTAATCAGACAAAATTGCTGCAAAGGAACATGCTTCGTAGTTGGGAGCCGTTTGCACAGAGACCGTCAGAGGTGCGAAGATGGCCTTCACGTACGAGCTTGTAGTACAGTCTACCATGCGACGCGAGCGGATGTCCACGCTCAGGTCGAAGTTCATAAGACAGTCGAAGCGCACAACAATGATAATAAATGTCCACCGAAATGTGTGGCGCAGTCCTAAGTCGATGGTTAGTTAGCGCTGTCCAAACGTGGCGATTTCGGAGCTGTTCAGAGCTTGTAATGATGTCATCCCCTAAGCGTGTTGCTCATGTAGACATCAAGGAGGAATAACGCTGACCTCAGCATCATTGTCAACTAGAAAACGACGTCCTGTTGTTGTATCTGACATGTAGGGAAGACGGCTGCCTGTCAGTTGTGGCATCCTGCAAGTTACTCGCCACTATTAGAGGCTCGCGTTTGTGTTTTTCTGCCAGTGACAGTGTTTCTGGCACTTCAGATCACGAACACCATAACGAGCAATGTACCAGCAGTATCCGTCACGGTTGTTTGTTGAACGTGACCGGGACCATGAACGTGAGCTGCCGCGGAAAGGGCGAGGTGTCGAATTTTATATTGCAGTGATAGAGGCAGCGAGTTTGTCCCCTTTCTAGTAGAGGCAAGAGGGCCGCGGTTGGGTGTCGTGATGGCGGTCGCTGACGCACCAGCTGGGGAGTCATCGTATGTACTCTCGGCCACCTCCGCTAACTTTTTTAATGGCATCTCACCAGCAGAACTCAAGACAGTAACGAGGTCTTGGGGCAGATGTAAAGACAACTCGCAAAGCAGCAGGGTTTTACAGTCTTCCGTGCCATCGCCGAGAAGGTGGCGCGTTCGGTGCAACATCTGCGATAGTTGTCTGTCTCCAAGCTCTTCGGCGTTAAGGAGTTGCTGAGCGGCTGCGCTCCGAAGCCGTTTCTTGCTTTAGAGCAATGGCTTCGAAAAGATTGTACGGCTTGGTTAGGTGTGGCACGCTCAAACGTCGTCGAACTCATCCACAACCTCCAAGGGCAGAGCTGAAATGACATGGAAGTACAAATTCATAATGAAATAATTGGAAGCGCAAACCAACGGGACTCAAGAGAAGAGACAAACAAGTGCAGACTGACATGGAAGTACTTCACGCGTTCGAAATTAATGCGACGCAAGCCAAATAGCGCTTCTATTTGAGCAGGCCATACCACTGGGTTCTTCGGCCAAAATGGCGGCAGCCAAAGCTGCACGTTGAAAACACCTCCAGGTGCGTGGTGAGGGCTTGGTTCTCGTTTCTCACCATTCATTGCGGTTGCTGTGATCGTGTGTCGTTGTCCATTGTCTGGCTCGTGTTAGTAGCCATCATATCCAGGTCACCAAGCTTAGAGACGCGATGTACGTTGCTTATAGACAGACGCGTTCAGGAGAGCAGCTGAACTTACGTCAGCACACGACCTCCTCTATAAACTTATGACCTGCTCACCGGTGCCACCCCTATGGAGCTGTGTGGGCCCAAATTGGCGAGTAGAAACCACAGATATACCACCACGTGCCGCCACGACTTACCCTCATAGCAGACAACGCACTGCCGTCGTCGTGCACTTGTGTATGCGCTTTTATGCATTTTTAGCGTTTATAACGCGCCGATGGAGCAACCCACAAATTCAACAAACCGAAGCAACATTCTATCCGTGAGAAGCATCGTGGTGGTTGGCTCCGGGATGTTCATTACAGGAACTCAATCTTCGTGAGCGTATTTGTGTCCCTGTCTAAGCGCAGGTGAACGTGAGTAGTATGCGACACACCAGTCGCTTGTTTTGCACAATGCGCCCCACCTAACCTCTGTATAGTAGGTGCAGAAATATTTCGTCCATGAGCAAGACTGTGATCTTGTAACGAGTTTAAACCTGAAATCGGAGTTTCTGTGATGCAAATAAAGACGCATGCGGTACTGACAACGTATCTGATGACCGGTGTAAGTTTTTATGCCCTGCATATCACCCTTAAATGATACTGTTTACGAATAACATAGAAGGGAATAGTTGTGCTATCGCCTGACGCACGTGTAGCGATCGATAGAAACGCGTGATGAAACTGGCGGATTACCGCAATGTTGTTACAGTCATTTTCCGCACCTGCAGCAGTTCGTTGCAGTTGTTACTTTGTTCGAGCGCCGGCAGCATGCAACAACCCTACCGCATGCTCCTCAAAACAGCGCAGTGGTTCCCTGATGACCAATTCTCGGCCGTCATAGCAATGAAGAACAACAAAATTCGCAAGTTAGCCTAATACACGGCAATATTGCCCGATAACGCCGCAAATATCAACACACACATTCGAAGCCATCGCCCGCATACCAGAAAGGAAGAGTGCGTTGGTTGCCAGACCGGACCTCCGCACCCGATGCACAGGTCTATAAGTTGACTGAAGAACTTACGTTATTAGTATTCAAGTTCACCCAGCCAGGTAGACATCTGTCGAAGATGTTCACCTTTACATTGTACTCTTCACCTGTGTGGTCGGCGGAACCATTAACCTCGAGCTAGTTGAAGACATTTCAGTTTCCACCTTTCTACACGCTTTTGATGATGATATGTGGGGTTTAACATCCCAAAGCCACCATATGATTATGAGAGACGCTGTAGTGGAGGGCTCCGGAAATTTCGACCTCCTGGGGTTCTTTAAGGTGCACCATGATCTGAGCACACGGGCCTACAACATTTCCGCATCCATCGGAAATACAGCCGCCGCAGTCGGGATTCGATCCCGCGACCTGTGGGTCAGCAGCTTAGTACCTTAGCCACTAGATCACCACGGCGGGGCTTCTACACGCTTTTCGCCACTTCGTTTCCCTAAGAGGAATACCTGTGACCGTATACTCCGACAATGCTCTGATGTTCAAATGGAGCGAGAAAGAACGACTTAACCTGTGAAAGACCATGTGGTCGGAAGAAGGTCTGAACACATTCGCAAACAGCAAGATTGAGAGGAAGTTTATCGTCGAGAGAGCATCGTGGTGGGGAGGATTCTATGAGCGTCTAGTGAAATGCGTCAAACTGACCTCGACGAAAACTGAAAACTGTCGGACAGTGAAGCCTCACGAAGAAAAAACTTGGCACGACTCTAACTGAAGCTAACTGCCATGTTGAACTCCAGGATAATCACGTACATTTACAGCGACGTGCGAAATCCAGAACCCCTCACACCAGCGCAATCACTCACAGGAAAGCGACTCGTATAAATTCCAAGCCCAAAGTCGTCTGAGTTGCCCTAGGTGTCATCACGCAAACTGAGAAAAATAGCGAAGTGGAGACAGGGTAATCTAGACGACTTTTGGAAACTACGGGAAAGGGAAAACACTCAAGAACTACGATCATCCCGTCAGCAAAGGGCCATTGTGGAAGTGAACATTAGAGACGTCGTACATCTGGAAGACAGCCTAGAACCGTGCCAAGTGTGGAAGCTAGTCAGAGTGACCAAAGTCCATGCTGGTAGCAATAAAAAATAACATCATGTACCATCATATTTGCATACGGAACGCATGTAGAACTACCTACCAAGCGGCTCTATCGTTTGGAAATTCACCAGCTTTCATGAACTTTGCTATGTGTGGGGGAGGTTGCAACTTCCGACAAAGAAGTTGCGGCATTCACGCGCGGCTCTATTCCTTGAGACACGTTCTGTTGTGTGCTTTGTTGACCAGCATGTCAAGAATGAGTTTTATTTGGCATTACAGCGTTTACCTCTTCTACTGAAGGTGTTTGCCGCTTAAAACACTTTACAATAGCCTATATATCTCACAAATAAGTACAGAAATCAGCTGAATCAAGCAGCTGACATGTAGCTGGTCGTGAGTGCTACTGAGTCTCACATCAGTTCAGTTCAGTTTTGTTAGTTACAAAGCATCAATTACATAGAGCATCGATTACATCGATTGGTTTTTGCAAGCACAGTAAGTTCAAATAAATGTCAGTGAATAATTTCTAATATATTTTTGCTTCCGAATTTCTTGCATGGCATTTAAAGTAAAGATGTTTTCAATAAAAGGAAAAGTGATTTCTTGAGTTTTAATGAAGCTTAACAGGATTCCCTAAGACCGATATCCTTGAGAAACCCTGGTGAACAGCATTCCACACAACTTGCACCTCTGAGCTTTTGGCGCACATGAATGTTTGATGCTATGCAGTGCAGGTACAATTACTAAAATAACATTGTGTACTGCAGGCACTGAGTCAAGCTCTCGTGGAGCTACGCACAGAAATGATGCGGGCCGTAGACCTCCACACCGTCACTGCCAGTAGTGGGGCTGACGATGGCAAGGTGAGTATGGTTACTGCTGCTCGACCACTGTAAGTGGTTCAATTTTTAATCTTTCCTTTTGCAACGTGTAGCTCAATAAAATGTGGCGGTGTTAGCCTAAACCTTTACAGAGTAACTTCCTCTGTTATCTGTAACAAAATAATAGCTTTATTTTAAAATACAGGTCAGTGAATTGGATCAAGCCAGAGGGGCTCTATGTAAGATACAATTGCGTAAAAACAAACATTGTGTGAGAGGAACGTGCTCATAACACGCAAAGTATGCTGAAAGTAATAAAAGCATGATAACCCTACTGAAACGTTCCGTATGCGAGTCCAATAATTCCATATGTTTCCATAAAGAATACATGTTTCCTATATATTTTCCATATATTTCCGTAAGATTTTTACGGAAACATACGGAATTATTGGACATCGCATACGGAACGTTTCAGTAGGGAATAAAGTTCTTTTGCCAATCTGACCGCTGAAAGGGACGACGGAAACACACGTATAGTGCGTTCTAAGACAAAAGATGACATAGGGCATGCCCTATGTCTGCCAGACGAGAACAATTGTCATGTATCTCATTCGCATTCCCTGCGTTAGTGCTGCGGGCCGTGCACTTTCGGGTCATGAACAATAGGCGGCATGCAGCTCGGTTAAAAGGACCTTGCGGCACAATTTAAATCTGCAGTTTTGTTTGATTATTTTTGAACTTTTCAATGCACTGATATCGTTGCGCGAGTAGCAACGCCCAGAAGAGACCTGAGGCGACTGAGAAACAGCGTTGTTCTTGTACTAGAGCGTCACACAGTGGCTGTTTTCCTGATCGGAAGTGATTACATCCGCCACGCGTTTTTATTCGTTTGACACGACAAGTAGCACACAATATTTGTAGTGTCACGGGGTACATGAGGCGAACCTCCTTGAACATTCAGGCTGCAGTTTGCGCTCAGCATTTCTGACTCAGGCTTTGGAGTTGAAAACCAAATTAAACGAAACCGAAGATAAGAAAGGCGCGTGCAATATGATCCCAGATAGGCCACAATATTGTGGGTTGAAAATATGAAAGTACAGTTTATACTTCCTCAGATACAAAATAATTATATTCCTAACTATTAAATATTTGGTACCTTCTTTTGACGTCAGTTTGAGACTGAAATTCGAAAAGCAACGGTATCTCTCACAGTCTGCTGGGTCTTCTATCGGTAGGTAAAAACTTCCGTTACCGTTCACCGGTTTTCATCATTACTCTTGTGTTCATGTTAGTAGTATTCAGCACAACATGCACCCAAGTACTGTTGATTGCAGACAAAAAGCGTGGCAGAATATTTGTAATAGGAGAGTAGCGAGTGCACCGAGTGCACATTAGTGAGCCCCCACACGATAATTCTTCTGAGGCTTAAAGTCCCTCTAATATTCCCCTTGTGCCTTGGCGTGCAGGAAATAATGCAGTAGAAGCCTAACAGGACTAATGGCGCCATGGTTTCAAAGAAAAGCACAGCATTTCATTAACAAAATTGTTGGAGTTAACTATTTTAGGGCAGCGAAAAATGCTTGTCTATGACCATGTGCAACAGAGAAAAAAATTCTTATTCTTTTCTGTGAATAGTGACTGATACTAATTATTTATCATAACTGCCTAACACCGCTGTGAAACTAACACGCCTCGCGAACGCTGGGATAGCTACAATGGTTTTATCAAAAAGGTAGAATGACAGCTCAATGACTTTCCTACGGGATTCTAACATCGATCACCTGTTGAGCTTCATTGAACGCGAAGATGAAGTTTGCCATTGTTGAATTGAAAATATGAAACTAATCGTTTCTTCTACCACTTTTCCTGTTTCGTATTTTTATGCGTGTATCATACAATGCAATCACGCTGCTGCCTTGACGTTAAGGAAGCATTGTATGGTAAAATAATTATTTACCTATGTATTTATTTATTTATTTATTTATACTGCCATCATACATTGCGAAAGGTGTAGCAGTGCACACGTACACTAACAGTACAGTATGAAAAAGAGCTATACATTGAGAAAAGAGAGCTACAACAGGAAAATATACAAAGTTCATCAGTGAAGGATGTTTCTCAATTGTTCCATCAATTCATCATTAGAAAACTCAAGCAGAGAGCCCCCGTGAACATTGCAAGTATCCGCGATACGAGAAATAAAAGAAAACCTAAAGAAGTCGATGTTTTGTTTAAATATCGGTATTAAGTGGTGCATTTCAAAGTTTCCAGTTGATGAACGATAGTTTTCTTGAACTTGCATCACAAATCCAGATACACGCTTCCACCACGTGAGCTCGTTCGTTATCATAACGTCAAGACATCAAAGCTGTTGGATTCTCCGACAGGAAATGTTAATAACTGCGTATAGTTAAATAGCTTGTTAGGCAGAAATTCTGTTGTCGGTGTCGCCGCCAGCTTTGTTCGTTTTGAGTGAAAAATGAGCGTGGTTCTAGTGGATAGTCAAGTGTGATGCAAAAAAATGAACCATAAAATCTTCCTTTTGATTGAGAATTGAACTCGGGCCTTCTTAGTCACAAACAGATGTTTTGACCAAGAGCGACACCCATTGCCTAAAATCACTTAAAAAAGGACGCTTCGTGTATGTCGTATAGTGGGAATAGTCTCCTTATCGATCAAATATTGCTTGTCAGAAGCATAATATTGCGCAGGACGTCGAACCGTGAATTGCGCTACGAGTGGGTGTTTTGAAGGTCCACCCATTACAAAGCGCTGAGACATATTTAATCATCAGCAACAGCAAAACCACAAAAAAGTGAGCAGGTGCGTAGATTCGCGTGTTGCCTCCGGAACGTTATCGTGTACTAGAATGGGATAGTGGGCCGCCTTCACAACAAACCATAGGAAGAGCGGGGTTCACTTTTCGCGATGACGCCACCAGCCAGGTGCCATGCTCAAAAGGTGCGCCCGGCGCACGTAGTTAAAACTTGCATTGCGAAACTTTTCACAGAGCTTGAGTAAAACAGTCACAAAGCATGATTGAAGCTAAGAGTACTTGCAAGATTTAAAGACATTCAACCATTCTGGGCGGCTTATTTATATAAACAAAGCTGCTTCTGTGCCATCTGAGCTTGAACAATTCCTATCGCAAGAACAGCCACCCAGATCGCCTTCATGCTTACAGTTTTGAATTCACAAGGCATAAAGAAGCACATCGCTCTCCTTCTTTAAATATGTACTCCTGCCTACGTACCACACTAACTTAAAGTCACGCGACAAATAAGCGGGGGGGAGGGGGGGGCAGGGTTCGTAAGTATGCCGTGATCATCGAGTGAGTTCCATGCCATGAACACCACTTGCCTGCAGCAGCCAGACGAGTAATCACAATGTTTCCAATAGCTAAAAAAATTCAATGACAAATACTGCTCTAGTTCTTCAAACATTTTACTCGTCAAAGAGGGCGTAAAAGAGCAGGGACGTAACTATAAATTATCCGCAATCTACTCTAGGGAATAAATGTTTTCTATGTGAGTAAACCCAGAATTCCTGTCAATGTGCAAGAACTGTTGTGCATCAGGCTTCTGCAAATACCGAGCCTTTTATGCACTACAATAAATTTAGCTGACGAGTTGTCAGAAACAGACGACAACAATCAACGAGATTAAAAATATTGGTGGCCTTGTTTCTCAGCGTACCATAAATTATTTCAGTAAGCTGTGACAAGTGATGACACAATTGTACGGTGTCTACTTGAAGCGTGCGAGGCACTTTCAATTGTTAAACGGCTGCTGGTTGAAACGTTGCAAAAACTTTCTTGCTTCGGCGTGCAGCAATTTGCGGGAACACGAGTACAAATGCCATTGCTCGTTATTACTTGCTTAGAAAGAAGAGTGCAAACACGTGCTTCGGTAGCAGTAGCCGGAGCACAAGCTGGAAATATCATCTGCTTGAAAAGGAACAAGAGGGCAAACATTACGGCTTATCTTTCTTCCTTCAGCTGTCCGAGTTCCTCACTGTGTGCAGCAAGGAACGCAGCAATACGTCAGCGTTGCGATAATCAGCTAATACACGCCTCACGTCCGTGCGCCTTATGTATACGCATACAGACACGCGGACTGTGCATATCGTGCCGTGCTCAAGCCTCTATAACATGGCGCTATGCACACGGTTACCGAAAGGTGGCAGCAGTTTTGCATGAGGTCTATACAATCGCGAAGGCTTGCCGCTATTCGGGTTTCATTTTACGCCGTTAGTGCTCACTGGATGGTTGCATTGCTGCAAAAAAAAAGTCTAATTTTTCATACAGGACACGATACAACTTCAGAATGAACTGTATGCTGCGCAAGAGAGGGAACGCTTTCTCGAGGATGAAGTTCAGCCTCCTTCGAGAAGAGAATGGTGAGATGTTTTGCCTTTTCATTTGACGCATAAAGAAGCTGGCTTTATCTGTTTCATTATTATTGAGCGCGTATTGAATGAGGAAATTCAGTAACAATGGCGAGTGAAGTATGACGTGCGTAGGGAGCCTTGATGTGCACGCCGCCTCCAGTACGGCGTGCACATGAAGACTCCCTAGTTTTCAGGAATACGCGTCGTATAGAAACTGTTGAGCGAGGTGATAAGGTTATAATAGCTTTAATTGTTTCACAGCGAAAGATGTTACGAGATCACAGTAAGGGCTATTTTGGCGCCTTATATAGCCACACCGCTAGTATTTGCATCCGTGATTGCCCAAATTAAGAAAAAATAAGAAATACCAAAATTTTATAAAAAATATTCGGCCAAGCACCCCGTTCAATGGTAAACCTGCGAAAGCTGAAACGTGAATCCGCGGTGTTTTGCAGTAGAATAATTCAACCCTATGTGGCACTGAAGCCTTTCACAATTAAAATTACATGTCCCTTGCTTCCTAATTACCTTGGACATATGTTTGACTTGGGTTTACCACAGTGTTTATTTCACGTGCCTCACATTGTGCCTCGCATGGTCACGGTCATGGGGGAGGGTAAAGAGCAGTTAAATGTGTTTCGCAACGTGTTACTCACAGTGACTGTTCTCGAACCACAGGGGGTCACATACGTTGCAGTCGAAGCCCAACTTGCGCTGGAGAAACTCACGCTAAAAGCGGGATTTCGTCCTGTTGGACGCGCTCGCGCAATCTTCTTATTGAATCCGCAACGTCACTTGTTCGAAAGAAATTGGGTGCCTTTTTCTCTTTTTCAAAAACCTGGCATTCATTTTTCGGTCTGGCGCACTTGCAAGTGTTCGCATCGCGAGCTATCTAGGTGGCGTGGCTTGCAGGATCCACCCGCCACCGGCGCTTGCATTCCCATTCGCAATTAGCGTGGCTTGGAAGACTGCTGGATCATCGGTACGCAGCTGCTGCTGGCACTCGGCCTCTCAAGCCTGTTTTGTGCCAGGACTGCCCTATCGGCCCGGCAAATTGTGAGGACTCACACGTTTCCGCTGTCGGTGCTCCTCTAGAGTTGTGCGTGGCATATCCACGGGGAAAGATTCAGAAGAAACTGATGCGCTCGTGCTGTAAGGAGAGACGCGGCGAGGGGTGGAAGCGATCGGACGCGTCTGCACCGAGCTCCGGTGTTTTCCGATGCTTCAGTAGGAACACGTGCCCATAGTTCAACCTTTCTTATACGAATGGGTTCCGCAAGTCATACCTGTCTCAACGATACAACTGTCTGATAGATAATGGTCACCATTTTCAAGTAAGCTTTTCACCCATTCACGCCATGCCGCAAGCCCCAGCACTGGACGCCTAGGCTTAGCGACGCTGCACCAGATGCCGCTATCATGGCCGTGGGACACCAGCCGACATGGAAATCGAGGTCGATGGCGCCGAAATCTCTCTCAAGGAGTGGTCAGACGATTCCTGGACACCACCTCAAAGTTTCCAAGCCCAGGTGAAACGTCACCAGGCACTGAAGCAACAAGCCCAAATGAACGACGCGCAAGCAAGCAGAGCCCCCAAAACTCCACTAACCTCCCGGCCTCCGCCGGAACTGAAACGCCATCCCTTGCCGAGACTGCGGTAGCATGCATACCACATCTTGGGACGCCCCAAGACACCCATCGACCTCACGTGCACATCACCCGGAGACTTGCAAAGAGCACTGCTTAAAGCGGCATCTCTGTGTGACCTGAACCCCGCCAAGCGAGACCAAATATGCATACACCCAAAGAATATCACTTTCACCGTTAGTGTGGCTACCACCGACCGAGCAATCGCGTACCAACGCATCACGTCAGTCCTTCTCGGAGAAGACCGGCAGATTCAGATTCACATGTACACCCCGCCACCCGACGGACACGATACGAGGCATCCCTTTTTACGCCACATGTTCCCCAGCGATGATAAGACGCTGAAAGACCTTCAAGAAAGCAACCCTGACTTATTTTATTTATTTATTCACGTTCCCGTAGGGACATTGTTCCCGTAGGGACATTGTGTAGGGGGGGGCGAGAAAAGAAAACACAAAATATAATACAAGCAACAGAGTACCAAACATTACAATGTGGAAATATATCAAAACTTACAGATGAACGGGCACACAAAAACAATGTAGTTACAATCGTAGTGTCTAATACACCATTGTAATATTACGAAATAGTAGGTGGCAAACGCATGAGAAAAACGAAGAATTTACTCATAACGCTGCTCGGGGACCACCTACCTATATGGCTTCTACACCGTGGAGGTCTCATCCGAGTATACCCTTTCTATCCCAAAGTAGACGCATGATTCAACTGCCTGGAAGACTGGGCATCACTCCGACATGTGCCCTCAACCTAGGCACCCACGCTGCCTGCGTTGCGGAGAAGACCACAAGTCGATGCCGCAAGGAACGCCATCAACATGCCAAGCACGCTGTATCGTCTGTCAAGCAGGACACATGACTAACAGCTCAAGATGCCAGTACCGCTTCGACAAAAAGCTTGAATCACTTAACGCAGCACAAGCAGAAAAAGACGCTACAAACCAAGTCACCAGCGTCGCAGCCAACCTCAAATGACGATAGCCCGCCTGCCTTGGACTAGTGTAACTACCCCAATCTCGGGACATCACAAACGCCGACGAAACGAGACAGCCGATCGAAGTCACAATCTCGTCAGGGTCAAGGTACCTCCCACTCAAGGTCCAAATCAAGAACCCGTTTATCAAACCACATTCGGCATGCTGATTTATCAAAAGCATCACCAAGCAAACCTAGTGTGGCATGGGCGCCAAGCCCAGCGTCTCCGCTTCCATCATCTTATCCGCAGCTATCGAAATCGTGCATCTCGTAGCATGACCTGCTCGTCAACGAAACTTACGCAAACAATAATTGTGTTGTAATTTCAAATGGCGACGCAACAAGCTTAGATCGAAACGCTGCTTGCGCAGAACTGCTCTCTAGAAAGCAGACTGGCAAAGGGCAGCCAGTTCGTGTATAAGTCAACTGCACAGCCCCGACCAGCCGCAGCAGCCAAACGTAAAGCAACTGACTTCCACGGAAACGCTGCAATCCGAAGAGGACACGACAGCGAGAATTATTCAAACGGTCAACGCATCTGTAGCCGAAGGTCTACGCACGACAGTTCATGCCACGGTCGCCGATGCCATTCGCGCCGCCGGAACAGAAGCCGTCGTAACCGTACACTCATGCCTAACGAACATAAAGACACGATTCTCAAACATGGAAGCCACGGTAAACATCACCGTAGCCGGATTATAAACACTCAGAACTGCCACAGACACCAGTTTTGCAGTAATTGAACAAAGCATGGCCAGAGCACCAGCCATCATACGCAACAGAGTGTCCTCTCACTCTTTCACCCAGCCCAGCGAACCCACGACTCCCTTAAGTAATGCTCCAGCTGATGCATCATGGCCAGCACCCACTTGACTATATGGCAGTGGAACTGCCGAGGCTTTCGTAAAAAGAAAGCCCACTTGCAGCTACTCGTACAAGAAACACTACTGATGAATTGCCAAACGCCTCCAGACGTCATCGCACTACAGGAAAGAACAGCTGCTATCTCACTCCCGGGTTACATCGCTTTCCTTCAATTCACCGACCTGCACAACCAAGAAGACCCAAGTACAGGTACGCTCGTCCACAAGAGCCTCACGGCGAAATGACACGAGTTGGAATTCCCGGGCATTTCACACATAGTTTTAGAAATTCTTCCGCAAAAACGCTCGCATCGTTCAGTCTTTATTCTCAACGTATATTGCGCAGGTCATGCACCAACGACTTCAACCTGCTCTTCCAAAAACCACATCGCTATCTCGAGGCGCACAACTGCTTATACTGGGAGATTTTCACACCAGGCACCCTGACTGGGATACCTCCAGGCAAACAAACGAGGCAAGAAGCTATGGCAACTAAGTTAGAACCTTCGTCTCACCTACTAAATGACCTGCCGCAGTCACCGACACGCATAGGAAACAGCGTGTGTAGGGACACGTCACCCGTCTTTCATACTGCAAGAATATTGCGCAGGCCAGATGCAAGAACACCTGTTAACTAGCTGGTAGTGACCACTACATCATTTCCATCCAGGTACAGACGTCCGCTGCCAAGAGACTACACAAACAAAGCACTCGCTCGAAACACTCGCTCGAATCACAAAACAATGCGCAACCTTGACGCAAGGTCAGTAACTGCCCTAACTGAATATTTCAACGATTGCTTGCATGCCTGCAGTATACCAGAAGAATGAAAGCACGAGAAAATAGTATTTATACCAAAACCCGGAAAAAAGGCAGATTTATCAAATCTTCGCCCCATCTCGTTAACTTCATGCCTTGGCAAACTTTTTGAGCACGTGGTCCTGGCTCGGCTAGAAACACTTGCAGAAGGGCAAGACATTTTCCCTCCAACCATGCTCGGTTTTCACGCCCACTTATCTACTCAAGACGCCCTGGTACAAATCCACCGCGATTTATTGAAACACCCTGTACGTGCGGGCACGCGAGCAATGCTAGGCGTTGACTTACGCAAGGCGTTGGATAACGCGACACATCAAGCGATAGCCCAGCACTTGGCTTCAACAAACCCTGGGGAACATATTTACAACTACGTGTGCACCCTCCTACAAGGCCGCACTGTGGAACTTTCCCTGATTGACAGCAACGCCACGAAGCGCCTTGCGCTATCCTACAAAGGCACGCCACAGGGAGCCATTCTTTCCCCTTTCCTCTTCAACCTTGTAATGAGCCAACTCCCACAAATGCTAGGCTGCATACCCAACATTCGTCACGCCCTATACTCGGACGACGTGATGCTATGGACCACTACCGGCTCCGACGAACAGATAGAGGAGGCACAGCAACGCGCCGTGGACACAGGGGCCGAACACGTCGCGCGTGCGGGTCTTGAGTGCTCAGTGGAAAAATCGGAACTCATTTTTCTTCGTCCTTCTGACTACCGTCAAGTTAAACACCCGCCACTACCAACCATTACTCTCAGGATCGCCAGGATCTGAAATACCAGTAGTGCAGCACATGCGGGTTCTCGGCCTTCACGTACAAGCCCGCAGGAGCAATACCATCGCACTAGAGAGGCTTGCGGTCACTGTCACTCAGACTGCCTGCCTGTTAAAAATAATCTCTGCGCGGAAACATGGCATGAAAAGAATGAACTTCTCCAGATGTTAAATGCCTTCGTAACCGCGGGAATCACTTACGCCTTTCCGTATCTACGATTTCTCAAGGCCGAAATAGAAAAGTTGACAGACTTATTCGCACAGCCCACAAGATCAGCTTGTGTCTCTCCCACACCACATCGACTACGCACCTCCTCAGCCTTAGAATTCACAATACAATTGATGAACTTATCGAAGCACACCGAACTGCCGAAATTGAACGATTGCGTGGTAGCAAAACCGGAAGATGGATAACTAAAGATGAACGTATCGGCATTCTCTCGTCGCCAAGCGTACGAGACTTAGTCTCGCTGCCACCCCTCATTAGACAGCGCTTCATCGTGCAGCCGTTGTCGAAGAACATGCTGGCTGGCATGCATGACGGTAGACGATCGGCCCGCGCCAGAAACCTTCACAGTACCTACGGCATGAATACTAAAGCGGCTCACGTCGGCGCGTCAAGAATACCCAGCCCTCAAATAGGCATATGCTATCTATGCCTCATCGAAACGTACCCCAGTCGATAAAGAGCCTAGCACGATGTGTGCCGACTCCATACGCACACAGGACCCAACCGATGTCGAAGAAGTTGCCGTAGCACTCGCCGCAATAGCCGGATTCAAAACAATTATTAGTGACTCCAAATCTGCCATCACCCGATTTGCCCGTGGCACTGTTTCCCCAACCACAGCGCGAACACTACGTCCACTGCCCCAAGCGGCACACAATGCCTCAGACGACACCGCTTCCAGCAGCACCGATGATGACGATCCCCGTTTAGTTAAGGTCATCTGGGTCCCAGCGCACGCAGTAAATCCGGGTAACGAAGACACCCACAGACAAGCTCGAGGACTCGAACGCCGAGCGGTGGGCCATACTTCGGACCACGATACCGAAGCAACCGAATCACTCATCACCTTTCATGACATTACGTAGTACTGCAAGCTATCAAGGCAAACCAGACCATCCCGCACCCGCAACTAAACAAAGCTCAACAAGTAACTTGACGGCGGCTTCAAACGAAATCATTCCCTTCCCCGTACATATACACACATATACCCAGCCTTATTCACATCTACGTGCACCCTTTGCAAGACACAGACCGGAACCTTGGACCACATAATCTGGGGATGTAGCAAGGACCCTCCCCCACCAAACCTCCGAGGACAGTCACCTTCAACTGAGGTTTGCGAGAGAATCCTCACGACTACAAGCCTGGACACCCAGCTCCGGGCCATCAAACGCGCTGACAAGGTGGCGAACCAGGCATGGCCTGACAGCCCTCGCCACTTAGGAAAAGGAAACCGTCAGCTACTTCAATAAAGATGTTTACTTCTACTCGTGCTCTAAGCGCCACGACTGCGACGAGATGGACCGCGCCACTCACAACGCACCCAACATGGCGCGCGTTCTTAGGTATGATTCTGAGAACGACATACCTGCGCCAATGGAGACCGCTCGTGACACCGATGCCGAACGGTTTTCGTCGCTCTAACCAATATAGAAGTTTAGATGCTTAAAAAATGGGGTTCTTCTTAGCAGCCCCAGCAATCTACCATAGTTCTTTGTAGGTGCTCGAAACCCTTCCGAACAAAGTCTCTATGGACGCTTTATGTAGGGCAAGGAACCACGCTCACATCTGTAATATAGCGTAGTAGATTATTAAAATAACCAGGCGTCACACTGGCAGTTGTGTAACCAGGCATCACACCATACTAACAGTGTAATGCGTGAGTCGCTGAATACTTTCAACCCATTTTAAAGGGCTCAGCCATAGTTGTCATCAGCCACTACATCAAGAAAGTGCACCTAGTGTCATGGAAATGCATAACGGGTGCTTCACTTTTCCACAGAATGACGAATCATGGCGAAGTGGGTGCGTTCAAACATGAAAAAAAATTATGATTTATGAGATAAATGGCATTTGTAATATTAGCCCCTAGAGAGCTTACAATGCTTTTCTGCTTTTTCTGTGACTGGGCTGTGGTTTTCGAGTGATCCTGTTTTTTTTTTTTGCATTGCAGATTAGAGTTCTATGAAATAATCACAGGTATTACTGTTACTGTAATAGGACTTATCGCATGTAGCATGGATGATAGCAGTGTACATTATATAGTTTTATTTGGTGAAGATAAGAAATTTAAATTGCTAATATGAACCGCAGTCACTAACAACAGGTAGATCGTGGGTCTTTTCGACATTCGGAGCAAATATATTTTATTACTAGGCTGCGGTCACAAGCGATATATAACTTGATGACAGATGCCGATACATGGTTTAAATTCAATACTTACATGTGGTGTTGGTATATTTATTGAAAACGTCAACTCTATCGAAACCACGCTTTTAGACGTGCGCACTACGTGATAACACCACGGTTATCTCACTGTATGACTAAACGCGCATGGCGGACATATATCTTGCGCACTAACCTAACCTCTAGTCTTCATAATAAGCATGGTATCAAACAATCTGACAACTCAACCTTGCATGGGCAGGTAAATTTATGGCGTTTTTTTTATCCCTCATGAGAATACGGAATAACGTATTACTTTTCTGAAAAAGACCGACAACTGGTCAGAACGTCTGATGAACTATAGCGACAAATTCCAGCATTGTTTTCGCGTTGTAACTAGGATTAATATTCTTTATTCATTCTTAAAAACAACAAAAACAAGAGTGTTGAATCTGGATTATTATATATGTGGTCGATCACTTTGCTGTACCTAGACATGTAGCTTGATGCTGTCATATGCGTCAGTGTTCAAAAATAGGGAATGTATATATTCTAATATTCTGTCCTGTTGAATTCTGGGCTGCTTACATGGTGACGGAAGGCACAGTGATCGCGGCCGTCAGTAGAACAAGCCGACCCGCAGCGCATGCACTGCATGGGAGTGCAGGCATGCACAGTGAACTGCCACGCTGGAACACTAACAACTTTTGCACTCACTGTTTGCAGCATCTGTGCATGCGACTTGATTTTCACTGCTCAAGGAAAAAATCTGAGAACAGATGTTCCGCGGCATATTCCACTCCAGCATTTCCTGGCCAGACTCACTGACCGGCAAGCTTTCCGTTGCGCAAAAGATTATAGGCATCATACCAACTGGTTCTTGGTCTTTTTAAAGTCTTAATTTTTGTTTACTTTTGCAGAAACCCTCAAAGAAAAACACCGAAAAGCCCAAGAGGAAAGATTGCGGATGACGAAGCTCCACAAGGCTCCCACAAGACGCGGGACGTAGCCACCTCTGTGACCTGGAATGTGGTCGCATTATGGCTGCAGCTCGGGATATACTGTACGATTGCTGACGAAAATCATAACAGAGTCGTCCAGATAACACATTCAAATCACCTGCGCATGCATGCCCTAGAAAGCAGTGATTGTAATCACTGGGTACTAGAACGCGACTGTTCGATGCTGTTCGTGGTCATGGATTCTGGCGACACCTTGTACTTTACTGACATATCCCACGTTCTATAATGAATACCTTCTGAGCTTCAAGCCTTGATTTTTGAAGTGCTTTTGTCTATGTAGTAATGCTTCCAAAGTATGTGCGACATATGAATGAAAGAATAGCACTAGATGTCAGGAAATGCACACAGTTCTAGGTACAAAGTACTTGCCCTTGCAGGTGGCAATTGTACAGGTGACCACAATGTATCGCCTATAGTTGAAAACGAAGAATTGTGTAAAATAAAACACATGTTGCTTCGTAACCTGGAGGTCTCTGTCCTTTCCTTTTCAGTTTTTTATAGGTTTGACACGTACATGCAGGATTATTTTAACTATTAGGAGTAATGACTCAAAACTACAAAGAACGTTTTGTGCGACAATTATATGCAGGCGTTACCAGAATAATTCGGAATGCTTACCTGCAACTGCTCGCTGACGAAGGGGACTAGTGAATAAATACGGACAAGGTCTGCGCATGCACGTTATCCCTAGCGAGAACCTTTCACTCACTCTAGTGCCTATCGCTCGAAAGGGTAGCGCTGCAAGAGCCCTTAAGCGTCGTTACAAGACGGGCTCAGTCGATCAGGGGCATGCAGTACTGCTCAGAACCGCAATTTATAAACAAAAAAACTCCCAAGCATTTCCCCGAGGGTGAACATGGTTAAGTGCGAATACACTGGGGTGATGCTATGAGGGGTATTTAGTAATTCGCACTATTATATTTATTAATCACACTATGGTGCCTTTATGGTGTAATGGTTTCTGGGAATCGCAATTTCATCACACGGTGGAGTCTACGTTAACTCACTGGCGAATGCCAACGGATTTGAACTTTACTCCCCCTCACGACCCGCTCTCGACGGGAGACTGAGAGAGAAGGCGGGCGAGCGAGAGAGAGGGGTGCGCGCGCAGCTGCAGCGAGCGAGGAGAGCGGAGGAGCGAGCGAAGGTGGAGGGGGTATAAGGCGCGTTACTGACACCGATATCAGCGTCGCGTCCGTGGCTTATTCGGTAGAGCGTCGCGCAGCGGCCCGCCCAGTTCCTCTTTCTTTTAAAAATAGAGAGAAGACTGCGGACGCCGCCGACAGCGGTGGATGGTTTGGGGTCGCTTATAAAGTGTATTCACACTTAAAATTGGCCCCGTATCTCCATGTTTCTGCAAATGTCGTCGAAATACGATAGTCTTGCATGTAGAGAGAGTGAACGAGACATTTGTTTGATATTCTGCGCAAGAAAATCGGTGAGTGGTATTCTGGAGTGCCTCGAGCGTGCAGCGGAGGCGAACAAACGCATCAAGTCACGTCACACGTGAGACATGAGCGACATCCCGCAGTTTTCTTTAAAAACAAAGCGCGTGGCTCTGAGACGGGAGTGCGTGCCCGTCTCAGAGGTGATAATGTGTGAAACGCAAGACAATTTGTAGGTGCCGCCGTGTACCGTCTCGTCTTAGCAAAGAGTTGGAAACACTCGCCTTTTCGTGCAAGCGTTCCATGGTCAGCGCAGCGTGATAAGCGCTATGGTCCCCGAAATTTCTTATGTATGCCTTTCCTCGTAAAAGACGCACATGCAGAATTTATACGTGTTGTTATGGTGCCCCAGACATGTGCAATAATTGCTTTTTAATTGAAAACCGCACAAGCCTGAGCGCTTAATCTTGAGCAACATTTGTGGGTGCTGCGGATGCGGTAGGTCGTTTCAAGTACCCGATGTCGTTAAGAATGGACAAACAGACAAAGGTACAGACAGACAGACCAAAATTTTTGTGTCGAAGGTCCCCAAGAAAGACTATCGTCTTAAAAAGGTTCGTCGCATCTTTGCTGCATGTCCTCGCCATTATCTGTATCTATTCCGGGAGATTGCGGGTCGATTAGAGTGACATCGCTTCCTTCTTTTCAACTATGCGAGCTGACCTTCGATAGTATTTCTCGATTAATTTTTTTCATATAAGTCTTAATGCTAGCTTCATATAATGAGGACAAATCGGACAATTACATGAGCATTTTTCACTTTGATGCTTTGGCGATAGCGACAATGAAAAGGTTTGCACAAGAAATAGGGCGGCACGTTCAACAAGGTAAATTTTATGCGAATAAAGTGACTTCATGCATTCTTCAATATGCTTTAATGACTCTAGTCTTTCATTATTGTGCTACTCTATATGGCTTCTGTGTAGTGCGCAACAGTAAACCTGGTTGCTTGGGGATGAGTCTTGAGACCGGCTCTTCGTTTGTTGGCGAACTAATTTTTTGTTCCTCAAAAAGAGGATACAGTATACTAATAGAGGGCAGGTGGTGTGTTCTGAATGAAAATTGTGGGGTTTAACGTCCCATAAGCACCATATGAATATGAGAGACGCCGTAGTGGACGGCTTCCGAAATTTGGACCACCTGGGTTTTTTTTTTTTTACGTGCACCCGAATCTGAGCAAACGGCCCTACAGCGTCTTCGCCTCCATCAAAAATGCAGCTGTCACAGTTGGAATTTCATCCAAAAATCTGCGGGTTCATAGATTGATAGGTGGAGCTTAATGTCCCAAAATCACCACATAATTATGAAACACGTGGTAGTAGAGGGCTCCGGAAATTTTGATCTCCTGGGTTTCTTTAACGTGCACCCACATCCGAGCACACGGGCCTACAGCCTTCTCGACTCCATCGCAAATGCAGCCGCCGCAGCTGGGATTCGATCCCTCGATCTGTGGGTCAGCTGCCGAGTACCTTAGCCACTAGACCACATCGGTGGGGTTTCTGAATGCAAACTAATCAAACGCATAGTAAACATGTGCGTCTAAAAGTGTAAGAAAAAACATTGGGTTATTTTCTCACAGAAAACAAAAGAATCGAACTCAACTGTGTTTCATCTACAGTTATTTCTATGATACACTTCAATATCGCTTGAATGCATCGTCCACGTGCAGCACTGGTTGTAGTAGTCGCCAGGGTATTGTCGTGTAGAGCACTGCTACGAAGTCCATCTACTGACCTAGGCGCTTCTCGTCTCGGGTTGTGGTGATCCAGAGCTCAACACTGGCACCTACCAAATTCATGTGAGACAGACCTTTTTTCTTTGCACCCGGCACATTCTCCATCACATTGAAGCTTCAACCTTACAGAGGCTAGTGCTTCTCTGTGGTGGTCTAGTTGCTAAGGTACTCGGCTGCTGACCAGCAGGTCATGGGATTGAATCCATGCTGCGGTGACTTCATTTTTGATGCAGGCGGAAATGCTGTAGTCCTGTGTTCTCAGATATGGGTGCACGGTAAAGAACCCCAGGTGGGTGAAGTTTTACTGCCGGGCAATTTATTTGACATTAATTTGGAAAACCTATTTTTCGGTGCTTCTTTTTTTTTTCAGACATGCTTCGTGAAATCGGCTTTAGAGCAAAGTTTTATCGGATATTGATGATGAATAATATGTGGGGCTTAATGTCTCAAAAGCACCACATGATTATGAGAGACGTCGTAGTGGAGAGCTTCGAAAATTTAGACCACCTGGGGTTCTTTAGCGTGCATCCAAATCTGAGCATACGAGCCTACAGCCTTTTCACCTCCACCGAAACTTCAGCCGCCACAGCCAGTATTCGAACCCGTGACCTGCGGATCAGCAGTCGAGTACGTTGGCCATTAGACCACTACGGCAGGGGTTTTCGTTCCGTAAGTTCGATCTCGTAAATCCATTATGGCTATGAGGAACAGCAGGAAGAATCTGAATTTGTTCTTTTGATTGGCGAAATTCGTAAAAATAGGTTCTGTTAAATGGAGTTTGAACTCTAATTCAAGTACTAACGAGTACTATGGATGGAGCGGCCGAGTGAAGGTGGTGGCGCGATCCGCAAAACACCAATACACGCTGAACGACCTTCTCATTGGTGCTGCAGCAGTCGCTAGTCTTTTTCGAAGTGCCCGCCAGATTAACACAGCACTGAGTCTGCGAAGGCGTCGGAGGCAATTAGAAGGCGCATTCGAGAGACTGGTCTTCAATTTGGCGCTTCTCGAAAGTTATGACTTACGGAGCGACAAAAAGGCCTGCTCCTTCAGTTTATCCAAGCATATGAACATTGAAAGACTGAAAAACAGAAGTATTTCATTCTAGCAGTGGGGGCATTTTCTTTTCTCGTCTAACAAAACTAAATATAAAAACTGCACAGAACCACACACTGCGCATGTCTTCCCTAGCTTTGGGCGACTTCCACCTGCTAACGAGAGTGCGCATTAGGTTTCATCAGATGTAATGGGAAATACACTGATGTAGATACACAATTACCATAGTGCTCCATAAAGAAAGCAACAGAATACCAATAAAGAATGATGATGATGATGATGATGATGATGATGATGATTATATGTTAGGTTTACCGTCTTTAAGCACCATATGATTATGATAGACGCCGTAGTGAAGGGCTCCGGAAATTTTGAAAACCTGGTGTTCTTCAACGTGCACCCCAATCTAAGCACACGGGCCTTCAGCATTCACACCTTCATCTAAAATGCAGTCGCCGCAGCAGGGATTCAATCCCTCGACCTGCGTGTCAGCTGCCGAGTACCCTAGCCGTTAGGCCACTGCGGCGGGGCACCAACAAAGAATGGTGTAAGGCATGTAGAAACAGAAGGAAATACAACTTTTTCAATGCTATTTACCGCGTGCTTACAAAATGTTTTCAGAGATTTAGAATGGGAAGAGATAGAAATACGAGTTATTGGAGAGTGCCTTTGTAACCTGCGCTTTGCAGATGACATCGCATTGCTGAGTAACTCAGATTACGAATTGCAATTCATTATTACTGAGTTAGACTAGGCAAGCAGAAAATTATGTAGGTCTGAAATATATCCTGCAGAAAACGAAAGTAATGTGCAACAGCCTCGTTAGAGAGCATTGCTTTAAATAGGTAGCGGTGCGCTTTAAGTTGTAGAAGACTACGTCTACATAAGAGAGGTATTAACTGCGGAGCCGAGCCACGAGATTGAAGTACCTAGAATATTAGGAATGTGGTCGAGCACATTCGGCAAGGATTCTCAAATCATCACTTTTAACGAAATAACCTACCAGCAAGATCAGGTTACCTTCAACGCCAGCCTTAGAAACATTTAGCCTGGTGCGAACGTCGGGATATGCAGCTTAATATTGCCACGTTCCATTTCACAAGTTTTTGTTATCGTTCTGAAACACCACACGATTCTCGGCGCAAACCGCGCCTGCAGGTTTCGAGAAGGTTCCAGACTGTAGTAGATCATTTCGATAAGATCACGCCCACTGTGCGAACGGTACA